GAAACTTGATGCTGTTTAAATTGTTTAAATAGTCTGAAGTTGTCTTACTGTATGTTAACATGTGAATTTGTCTTTCAGCTTGTTTAAGACAGCCATGGAGGACTCTGCCGACGTGAGTAAACAGGAAGTGAGGGTGATGAAACTGGGTGTGGGTCTGCCACTCAGCAGAGCATCAATAACAGTGTGCCTGTTGAACATTCAATATTCAAAACACTGAAGTAATGAATCTCATGTTCTTCTATCAACAGGAGCACTCAGGACAATCTCAACTTCATGAAATCTTACCAACCTCGAAACAAAGGAGTCAAACATCTCAGGATTCTGCTTCATGGACCGGTCGGTGCCGGCAAGTCCAGTTTCATAAACTCTGTTGAAAGTGCTTTGAGAGGCATTGTTACAAATCGAGCTTTGACGGATGCGACCTCTGGGAGCAGCTTCACCCTAAAGGTATGAACAACTGATGACTGTGGTGACTCAAATCTAAGATTATTCACCATTCTCTGTAAACTAAATTCCTTGAAGAAATTGATATTTTTTTGGCAGCTCAGTTTCAGTAAAAGATTACAAATAAAATAAAAAACATTTGATCAACATAGATTATCACTGAATAACCTCACTGAATAAAATGAAATAATTATTTTGTTGGTTTAGGAATGTCTATCTTAGATTTACCTGAACGATGCAAATTATTTCTCCTTCTTCTTCACAGTACCAAACATACAAAATTCAAAAAGATGATCAGAGCTTCTATTCTATTGTTTTCAATGACATCATGGGCTTGGAGGCAAACCTCAACAATGGAGTCCAGGTGGAAGATGTCAAACTGGCCCTGCGGGGACATGTGAGAGAGGGTTACAAGGTACACTCCTAAAACTTTCTCTTTTTTTGTTAAAGGGCCCTGTGGAGTTCACTTCAACAAGTGTTTTAAATGAATGCAAGCAGCACCCTCTGATGTTCAGAACAGCAAAAACCTGCAGTTCCTCGAGTTTCCACCAGAGGTGTGCTGCAGCTTAAATAATCCTAGCAAGGAGTCCTAGATGAGGAGTGATTTAGAAACACTCTCTTTGCGAGGAAGAGACAGAAACTTTTATCTTAATGAAGAGGTGTAGTTGACCCGGTTGACCCCGTTGCTAGGTATGACACTTTCTTCAGAAGCTGCGATTGGTTGAGTTCTCTCTCAGGGTGTTTTCCCATTAGGCATGTTTGTTTGGTACCGCGACCCAAGCACAAGGATTCAGGCCTGTGTGTGAGAAGCAAGTCTCTCAATAATAAAATGTAAAACTAGAATATGTAAAAAAAAGAGTGTGCTTTTTTTATTCACTGAAACATTCACGGCTCTGTGCATTGAAAAATACTATTAGAATGTCTATTTTTGTTTTTCAGTTTCGTACTAATGGCCCACTGACAGAGAATGACCCGGGCTACAACTCCAACCCCTCTCTGGATGACAAAGTCCACGTGCTGGTCTGTGTGGTTCCTGTCAACTCAGTCTCTCTGTTAGATGACAAAGTCGTGCAGAAGTTCAGAGAAGTCAGACTAGCTGCCAGTGATCTGGGTAAGAACAGATATCACACACTTACATTTCCATATCAGGCAAATGAAATACAAGAAAATCAAAAGATTAAAATACTGAAAATGTTTCCACATCTGCAGGAATTCCCCAACTGGCCATCCTCACCAAAGTTGATCAGGCCTGTCCTGAGGTCGAATCAAATATTCACAACTTGCACAAGAGCAAGTACCTGAAGGGACAGGTGAGCCGGTTTAGATTTGTTATTGTTGAGTTTCATTTATTTATTTTCATCACATTTCCACCTTTGGTCTGAGCTTTGCAATCCTTGATTATCTGAAATTATTTGACTCCAACAGGTGGAAAAATTCAGTGCAATGCTGGGAATTCCCATCAACTGCATCTTTCTGGTGAAGAACTACGAGTCAGAAATCAAAACGACTGACGACATCAACGGGCCGCTTTTGACCACACTGAGACAGATGGTATCCCAGGGAGAAGACTACCTCAACTATATGTAGACCGTCTCACTGCTGAGGCAGACGATGCATGATGAAGGAACATTAACACAAACCTGTAAGTGTAACCTGCTGTGTGATTTTCAGTTATTTGTCATTTTGTTATTGTATGATGGATATATCATGTGATGTAAGGCGTGATTGATTCATTGATGGTTAAGACAGGAGGAAACAAATAATGGATTTCCTGACCGTTCTTAGTTGAGTTTGACATTTTGTATTTCTTAATGATGACTGTGTAAGAGGTACAAAATCAAAAGTGGGACACAATATTTATATTGTGTATTAAATTGTATATTTGCATAAACCATTGCAATCAAGTAATTCTGAATATTTACATTATGAACATGAAATAAAGAAACTTTGTTGTAATTCTGCATGAATTAGCTGCGTGTGAAAATGGTAAATTGCTGTGTAGATGGTTTATGAAACCTGAGATTTCCCAGAGTGGATTCACTAACAGTAACAAGCTGGTTCCTCGTGTAAGTCATTCTTTACCAATGAATTGGATTAATCAAAGTTCGATTATTGAAACAAAAGATGTTTGTCATCATGTCTTGTTGGGTGGGGGTTGTTTCTGTATTAAATGGACAATGATGAATTCCTGAAACAGACTGTGGATCATTTTAGGATTTATTCAGCCATGGTCAGACAACATCGAAACACAACACACATGGCTGACAAAGTGCAGACCATCGCTGACCCATGCTGACCAAGATCTCACTATCGCTTGCAATCATTGGCCTCATTGGTCATCGTGGGCAAAGTGGCAAAGTCTTCATCTTCACAGTGTTGCTTATATTCTGCTAGAAGGTACATCCTACAAATTCCTGGCTTTTCTGCTCATTTCCTTTTCTGCTCACAACAGACACTTGGCTCCAATCCAAATATAACTCTGCAGCTATGATGTCTCTTACACATGCATTATAGCTCCACAAACCTAAAAGAAGAATTACTCTTAGATGGTTGACACAATTTAAAGATATATCCACTGTAGCATGTCCTGGACATGCAAAAAGGGGTCAATAACTTTACTATAGCTAACAGAAGCTCACCACCCACTAGTTAACTAGTCTACTCTTTCCTAGAACTTGCTCCCTACCAGCCGTTAGTCAGTAGAAGTGTGCCGTGGTGTGACTGCTCAAGCTTACCTTCCGAGGTTCACGGGGTCCTTAAGAGAGACTCCGGTCTTTGTGGTGTGAATGATTTCAGTCAGAAAATGGTTTCAAAAAGTTTCAGAAAATGTATCAAAAAACTTCAAATGATATTCCAAATGCAAATACAAAACAGTAAAAGTAAAAATATAAAAATGTAAAAAGCAAAATACAAAGACAAAAGTCTAAATCGAGAGTGTAGACACTTGAGGTTTTAAAAGATCTTGGTCTCAGAGACTAAGTCCCAAAATGGGGATTCAAAAGTCAGAGTGACGTGGAGTCCTTTAGAAAAGTAAAAAAGAACGGACGGTCTCTTTTTTCCAAGATTCTGTAAAACCTCAACAATGCAGATTTGAAGAAACGTGATACATCCTTGATACCAAGTTCATATGTGGTTTTAATGTCAAAGTATAAAGGTGACACAGGTATATTTGGTTTTAGCTTGAAGACCGTGAACCAGGCAGATTCGCAGAAAACGCTATACACCTACGAGCTCATATGTGGTCTTGCTCAAAGTATGGCACACTTATCCTGACCTCACAGGTGCATAGGCGCCGCGGGTATGTGTAGGATTGACAGGAAATGTAAAAGCCAAGAAAACAAAAGTCGTATTGACTATATGACATATGAATGAAATGATAAAAAGATTAAATGATAATAAAAGAAAAAGAAAATATATTAAGTAAATGATAAATGCATTAAATGATAATAAAAGGAAAAGAGCATATATGGTTAAAACAAATTCAACAATTGCATAACTCTTTCTGATCTTTCAACACCACAAAATTATCAAGATGAATGAATCCATGAAAATACGTACTAACAGTAATGCTTATTCAGAGCATTAATAAATGGTCTATTATGGTTAAGTAAGGCTTATTCAGAGCATTAATAAATGGTTAATCATGGTTAAGTAATGCTTATATAACATCAACAATAATGATAGGTTAGGCTGTAAGTTAAGAACGTCTACATGAAGATAAAGGAACAATCTAACGTCTACATTTAGACCATGGTGTGGTCCACTGATCTCAACCTTTACCAAAAATAAGTCACCAGTTGGCGGGTGGACAAGTGAGCAGTCATTAACCTTAAATAAATATGAATTAAAAACAAACACTTTTGTCTTAATGACATGACTCAACTGTGAACCTCAAGACATGCATCTAAATGAACATCTTTATCAAACATTTAGCAATATTAGTTAATAGGCTTAATTAACATGTAAACCCTTAATTAATGTTAATAAGAGACATCTGTTAAGGGTTTCTTAATGTTCATTTTTGTATGAATTTACTGTGCGTATTACTGCATTAACTAATATTAATAGCATCCTTAAATAATGTATTAATTAATACCATAGTTAACATGAACACCATTAATAAATGATTACTAGACACATTAGTTAACTGTTAGTAACCATTAGTTAAGGCTTAATAATGCCTTAACTAATGTGAATTAATGTACCCTTATTTTAAAGTGTTACCATGTTTGTGTTCCTTCATTGTTTTCCTTACCACAGCAGGATACATTTACATGTTGTGTTAATGTACAATAATGCATAATCTGTGGTAAGTAATGTAAAATTGAGCTGAAACATGAAGTGACAATATTTTCCTCTCGCGGCTGGGTTGGGATGAAGGAGTCTTCTCCTTCGGTTACCATCTGTTTCAGTGCGGTCAGTATCGGCCCACTGATGCCATCATTTGTGTAGGTTTCTGATTCGTAGTTCTTCACCAGAAAGATGCAGTTGGTGGAAATTCCCAGCCTCGCGCTGAATTGTTCCACCTACGTGTTGGAGTCAAATAATTTCAGATAATCAGGGATTGCAAAGCTCAGACCAAAGGTGGAAATGTGATGAAAAAAAGAAGTGAAACTCAACAATAACAAATCTAAACCGGCTCACCTGTCCCTTCAGGTACTTGCTCTTGTACATGTTCTGAATATTTGATTCAACCTCAGGACAGGCCTGATCAACTTTGGTGAGGATGACCAGTTGGGGAATTCCTGCAGATGTGGAAACATTTTCAGTATTTTAATCATTTGTTTTTCTTGTAATTAATTTGCCTGATATTTAGGGATGTAACAATTCACTAAACTCACGATACAATTTTCTCAGGATTTATTTAACAAAATCAGACTGTAGATTATTATAAATTACGATTGAAAAAGATTCCTTTAGGGGCTACAAACCCACTTGTCAGTGTGGTTTGGCCTTTTTTTTTTTTTTTTTTTTTTTTTGCAAAATCTTGCTCTGCAGCTACCAAACGCCTCTGCTCTACAGCTGCTGACACTCACAATATTGACATTCATTTTTCAGAGTACCGATGTGAACCTTGACACCTTTGAATCGATTTTTCAAGATTTCACAAATGATCTTTACATCCCTACTTATATAGAAATGTAAGTGTGCGATATCTGTTCTTACCCAGATCACTGGCAGCTAGTCTGACTTCTCTTAACTTCTGCACGACTTTGTCATCTAACAGAGAGACTGAGTTGACAGGAACCACACAGACCAGCACGTGGACTTTGTCATCCAGAGAGGGGTTGGAGTTGTAGCCCGGGTCGTCCTCTGTCAGTGGGCCACAGGGATTGAACTGAAAAACAAAAATAGACATTCTAATAGTATTTTTCAATGCACAGAGCCGTGAATGTTTCAGGGAATAAAAAAGCAAAATGATAAAAAAATATTTAGTGGATATTTAGTATCCTCTGGAGGTTTGTCTGTCCTTTTAAAGTAACTGTTTTTAGTTTTTCTGTTTTCTGCCGTACGTTTGATAGGTGAGGGCCTACAGTATGAGTTGTAGCCAATATTAGCAGCTACTTTTCACAACCTCTCTTTCTGCAGGACTCAGGAATGTGGATTAACATCTTGGTTACTTTTTATCAAGAAACAAAGGAACTGATCAATGATTTAAGTCTCCCTCTCAGACAGGCTCTAGAAGACAGGATATTCTAAACTTTTACAACGCCTTGACTAAACAACCGAGGGGAAATAGAACACTCTGCTATGTACAAATTGACCGAAACTGTGACTGATCTGATAGAAATTCATGTCTAAATATATGACGTGAACCTACATCAACGTGGATCTGATAGAAACATATATGTGACGTATATATGTTTAGATTCTTATTCTTAATCTTATTGAGTAAACTCGGTTTAATTTAAACATTTGTCCTCTGGTCAGAGTGGGAGTAACCCTTGGGCGGTCCCCTTCTCTTGCAGCTGATAAAAGTTCAGACTCAGCTCAGATCTCAAGGTTCAGGTTCTTGCTTCTTGCTCTTGCTCACTCCTCTTCGGACTTTAGTTCAAATCACCTTAAGACTTTTAAGTTTGTGCTTTAGAGAGAACAATCCCTGCTGAACTTTTATTTTCAACAGACATTTTTGAAACATCAATTATTTTTGCACAAACAAGGTTTTTGAATTTTCTTCTCCAAAGTCTTTGCTCTTCAATTTCGAACGCCAATTTCTTAATTTGGATTCATCGAGATGGCAGGTTAATCTGAATTGGAAATCGACGTATCAAAAGACTCTTTCATATTTTTCCTGTTGGATCCACTTGGAGCTGATGACGACACAACCACGACGGCTGAACTGCCATTCCACCTCCATCCTAGCTTCATACTCCGACCAAGGTGCTAAGGCATCTAATCTGGCCCGTGGACCTCTCTAGGCCTGAAAATAACCACTTGCCGGAGACTGAAACGCGGGACCAGTCGGCGGAGTTCAATCGAACACACCTCACAGTAAGAGTGTTTGTTCCTGCAGTGGGTTATTGAGAGATTAGGTCATGAGTCGTGTTTATTCAGAGCCCTCCTTTAAATCCAAAGAGAATCCTAAAATTCGTTTATCAACTTTTCTCCTTCGATAACTTGCTCATAAGATGATCATAAGAATCATACGCTTATCTGTTTTATCTATACCTGATTGTTTACCATTTATATATTAAATTTAAAACATAAAATTCAGAACTTTGTCTGTGTGTTTTCTGGTTTAACATTTCTCGAACTTCTTTCAAGATATGAAACTGACTTGAAATAACTTATACAGTTAGAGTTAATTTCTAACAGTAACAGGATGTGGTGCCCCTTTCTGAATCCGAGGTTAAATAAAGATATAATATCTTAATAAATGAATTACGCTGCAGAGTGGACCCAATCGATTTCCCTGTACTTCTATGCCCATTATCAGTAAGAGAGCACTCAATCAGCTTCTGAAGAACGTGTCATACTAAGCAACAGGTCAACTAGGCCTCCTCATTAAGATAAAAGTTTCTGTCCCTTCCTCGCTCAGAGAGTGTTTCTAAATCACTCCTCATCTAGGACTCCTTGCGAGGATTTTTTAAGCTAGGAGCTGTGTGAGAGGATTCTCAGGATTTCAAGGTGGTTTGTCTCCCTAGGGAGAAATTTGTCTCAGATACTAGGAAATTGCTGCATGGACAATACATCAAAACAATATAAAAACAGTAATAACAAATGTGCAAAAACATTAGCTTATCCCTGCTACAATTTACCCAAACGTCTGCTTCAGCATCCATACACATACACATACACACACACACACACTCACTCCTTCTCATGATTTCTTTGGCTATGGGCCCAGGGCTTTTGCAGCCTGCCTCCGATGGACACTCGAGGAACTGCAGGTTATTGCAGTTCTGAATTGCTTCGTTTTTCAACACCAAAAGTTACATTAATTTAAAACACTTGTTGAAGTGAACTCCACAGGGCCCTTTAAAAAGAGAAGAGAACGTCTTAGGAGTGTACCTTGTAACCATCTCTCACATGTCCCCGCAGGGCCAGTTTGATATCTTCCACCTTGACTCCTTTGTTGTCGTCTTTCTCAAGGCCCATGATGTCATTGAAAACAATAGAATAGAAGCTCTGATCATCTTTATGGATGTTGTATGTTTTGTACTGTGAAGAAGAAGGAGAAATTATTTGCATCGTTCAGGTAAATGTAAGATAATGTTAAGCTTTCCTGCTTCGGCGTTCCGACCGTGGTCTGCTCCAGGGCTGAAGTTGTAGCCCTCAACTTTGGGGCTAACCCCTGTCACTTTAACTGTTTACAACTTTAGCAAGTTTTAGCAAGTTTTTACAACTTTAGCAAGTTGTAAACAGACACGGAGAGTCCGGCTTTTTACTTTTTTAGTATGCACACAGAGCTCAAACTGTGCATACACTTCAGATGCTGACTAGTTTCTCTGCGCTGATTCTGCTCCGGTCCACGGCATCAGTAACTTGCCTCTCGCACACACCTGTCAAACACACACACGCGCCTTGTCTCTCTCTCTCCTCACTCGCTTCACCACCCACACACATGCTCACTAAGCCATTCACAGATAGGGGTGGAGTTTACAGAGAATGGTGAATAATATTAGCTTGGAGTCACCACAGTCATCAGTTGTTCATACCTTTAGGGTGAAGCTGCTCCCGGTGTTAGCATCCGTCAAAGCTCGTTTTGACACAATGCCTCTCAAAGCACTTTCAACAGAGTTTATGAAACTGGACTTGCCGGCACCAACCGGTCCATGAAGCAGAATCCTGAGATGTTTGACTTCTTTGTTTCGAGGTTGGTAAGATTTCATTAAGAGGAGATTTTCCTGAGTGCTCCTGTTGGTAGAAGAACATGAGATTCATTACTTCAGTGTTTTGAATATTGAACGTTCAACAGGCACACTGTTATTGATGCTCTGCTGAGTGGCAGAACCACATCCAGTTTCATCACCCTCACTTCCTGTTTACTCACATCGGCAGAGTCCTCCATGGCTCACTGAAAAGAGCTGAAAGACAAATTCACATGTTAACATACAGTAAGACAACTTCAGACTATTTAAACAATTTAAACAGCATCATGTTTCACTGGATGGTAATATTGGAAGATGGAGATGAGATTTATTTTTGAGACATTTTTTCTCAGGTTGAGAGTATAAACATCATTTGATTTATGGATAACTTATTTTTTAATTAAATTGTACTTTGCATACAATTGGAAGAGTAACAGTCTGATGATGCACTTTACCTTTAAGGTTGCTCATGGTTACGGCTGGCTGAGTGATATTGCTTTAAGACCAGTGAAGTGATGTATCACTGTTGTTGTTATTCAGTCTGGGTGTGTCATGCTATGCTACAGACGGATATTAATGTGTATGAGATAAACAGCAGAAGATGTCCCCGTGCTCCTGCTTACCCACACCCAAAGGCATATTTAATAAAGTATATGTAGTGTATACTTAACAGCAGGACAACCAAGGGTTAAACTTATAATCAACATCACCTCAAGAAACACTGTCACAATATTTGACCAGGTATCATTTTAATATTTGTGCAAAAAGTCTTACGAGAAGGTGGTGCTGGGGCTGGTTTGGATTCTCCTCCTCCCATATCTGTAAAATATAACAGTAGTGTGTTAATGTGGATGACTTTACCTCGATAAAGGAAGAATATTTAGATCATGAACTCTGTAAAAATAACAATTATGAGGAATACAGTCACTAGGTACTGATTTATGTAAGAGCTGAAGCCATTAATGCTGATTATTGCTATTTTGGTGTATTTCCAACATTTTTCCAACCGTTTACTGGTGTGTGAAACAGCATGCCTAGAACCAGCCTCGGTGTGAAACATTCATGACAGTTCAGTTCATGAGTTACAAATAGCTTCACTGCATATTAGCTCTGCAAAACCCCAACAAAATTCATCCATCTATCCAGCTGTCATTGAGCGAGAGGCAGGTCACACCCTGGACTGTTCCACAGGGCTGACATACAGAGACAGACAACCAGCCACACTCACATTCACACCTACGGGCAATTTAGAGTCAGCAGTTAACCTAACGAGCATATCTCTGGACTGAGGGAGAAAGCCGGAGTACCCAGAGAGAAACACTTCCCCAGGGAGAACATGCAAACTTCACACAGAGAGGGGCCTGATCAACAGGGATTCAAACCAGGAACCACCGTGTGCTAACCACTGCACCACCATGCAGCCCATTAAAATTATTCATCAGTAAAAACAAATTAAAATAAATAAACAGTTCATGTGAGAGTTGGTTTGTTAAAGTAACTTTTAAATAAATATCAATTCCATGTTCACATCATTCAAGAAAAAATAAACAAAGAGGGAAAAGGAAAACTCAGCAGTAAAGGAGTCCTTTATAAAAAAGAGATTTATCATTATAAACATCTTGAAGTCTAAAACAAACTGACGTCAATCAATGAATAATAAAATCATAGAATGAAGAGAGTCTTACCTTTTCTTGTGATGCTCTGATGCTCTGGAGTGACTCTGCAAATGTGCAGGCTGGTCCAGATTTTTTATAGGGTCTCTTACTTTCACTTTTGTTCTTTTGTCTGTTTCTGATAAGCCTTCTGACTTCCAAGAAATTAGCTTTCTGATATTTATCGGCTGTTTTTTTGAATTTGCAGGTCCATCAGAATTTGCACAAGATATAATCAGAAGAAAAAAATTATATCTTCACTGACTGAAGTCTTTGCAATAATAGCAGTGATAGCTTGATAGCTAAATGTATTTTTTTAGCATTTGTTTATATTTACTCATTCTACCTTTCCCTCTGTGTTTACCTGTCCTCATCACCTGGCTCTTACATTCAGCTGATCCCACCCGCCCTTCAGTGTCCCCTTCTTCCTCTATACTCATCCACTTGGCCTTTTTCTTTTTTTAACATATCTTTATGATTATGCATCCTTCATGTATTTGCAACATCTTTCTGTCACTCACAAACTCCATATCACTGCCAAGTCTTTCAGCCAAAACAAATAAAATGATACCTCACTCAATCACTTCCTGCCTTTGGTACGTTCCCTTTCCTTCAAGAGTCTTTCGTTTGTCAATTTGTTTGGGGACTGGTATAAGTGTTCTGCCACTTGTACATTTGTCTCAGCTGTTGGAAAAGTGTTTCACAGTTTATAATTTTGCTTTGCACTTCCCAGCCACCGTACTTTACTAACATTTTGCCAATATTTTGACCAGTGACGATGCAAAGACTCCCCCAGCACAGCTGAAAAATGATCGGGGTTGTTCATGAAACATGTGCAAATTGGCTTTAATAACCAATAAAACATATTTAGGAGTAAAATTAAGAGTAATCAATAGATATATATTTTGTATTTCTTATATGGTATAAACCCATAAAACAAATGTATATATGAGTGATTGTACCTGTTTTATACCCCTATCTAGCAATGTGTCCGGATACAAATATTCAATGCCTGATAATCAATGTTGTGAAAATCCCAATTTATAATTTTTCAACAAGAACTTATAAAATGTTCCTCAAAAAATAAGTTTTAAATACTAAGTCCCCAAAATACTCTCATAAACATGAAAATATAACATCACTTAGTTCATGGTCGGTGTCTTTATTAATGCACACCGTCACTTTGGATTTTGTAACAAATGATTTGTATCAATTCGAATGTTGACATGAAATCAAATGAACTGAGTACTTAACCAAAACCACCCTGTTGGAGCTATTTAATTGGGGATAGAATTAGTTTTTGTATTTAGTTTACTAATATTTGGGTAATACTGTGGGCACCGGAGATTATTTAAGTAAGCGGCAGGTAGAGGACCAGCATGCACCTGGGTGGGCCTATTGTTTTTTTATCAGGTCAAGAGAGGCAGCGGGAGCCACGATTTTCTTGGTTCTTTTGTTTGTTTTCATTAAAATAAACCAGCAAAATGGACATTGGATTTCTTTTGCCTGCGTACATTACATCCCCACGGTGTATCAGTGGTCATTTGATTACTTTTTGATATTAGTTTATTTAGGGTTTTTTTGTTGTTGTTTTGGACAAATAGCCATTACATAAAGTAAAAAACACGCCCTTGGACTAGAAAGGAAGGATTCCACATCACTGGACGGATTGGAACTTATTGGATTTTGGATGGATGAACGGCACAGATTGTTTCATTCAAACTTGTGGAATCAGCGTCAGAAGGAAACCGGCTTCTGGCCCAGATCGACACAACGTTCAGCCTCCTCACAAGAAACTGGTATGTGACACGACTGCTGTATTGAAAAATGGCCAAACGATTGGAGTTTGAATGTCAGTGTTTTCACGTTAAAGTGCCAAGTTTATGAAGTTTGAGGAGTTGGACGGCGCAGAATCGCCGCGTGTTACTATTACGCAACACTTTTACGCAAGACTGTCGGCTGCTTCCATTGACAATTAACCCGACTGCAGAGTGTGTCTTTGTGTTGAAAACTGGATCTGATCGGCCAATAAACCAGTTATGTTGGTCGAAAGCTTTTGGCCTGCTTTTCTGTCTCATTGTGGATGTTGATTGCTGCGCAACAAGCAGTTTAAAAAAAAACGCTAACATGGATGATGTTGCTGTAAATTATGTTGAAATGCCGTCAACTGAAAGAAACATTAAAATCACTTCTAAAGGCTTGTGCTTCTACACAGAAATGTGCCAAGAAAAAATGAGTGCAAAATGTAAGCTAAGAAGTGTGGAGAAAAAATTCGCGTGTTAATGGAGTCAAGTGAAAATGTCAATTCTGTCAACTCCGAGCTTGTCACGTTCATTCAGTGTTATAAAGATGCAGCTCACGTGCACGAAGCTTTAATCAAGCTGCCCTTGCCACAAGATGAACTGACAAAACAAAGTAAATACTTCGAAGAAAAAATGACAAAGTTCGGTGAATTCACAAAAGGGGTTAAAAACTGGCTGTCTGAAAAGGGTCATCCTTATGTGGAGCCACAAAGAGACACTCCCGACGAAAAGGATTTTGCAGATGATATCAACCCTGAAGACAGGGCTTCTAATGTGTCACGTGTAAAATCAAATTCTGTGAGGACTCGTTCTCATTCATCACGAACCTCGTCAGCCTCTTCTGCACGCATTAAAGACAAGGTCAACAAGGCATCTCTAATTGAGCGTGTTGCTGCTTTTAAAAGGAAACATGAAATAGAAGCTCAAGAGGAAAAGCTGAGGAGAGAAAAGGAACAACTGGAACTTGAAACTTAACTGGCTGTAACAAATGCAAAGCTTCAGGTCTTGGAAATAAATTCATCAGAGTGTGGCTCAAAATATTCAGATGGCATGAACTCTTACTTTGAAAGGAACTATTCTCAAAAGCTCAGTGCATTAAATCCCAATGCTGACACCTTTGCACCAGTAATTGAAGAAAATGCTAATGTTATTGCTGGACTTGATACCATCTCTCATCCACAAGATGTTAAGCCCAAACAAAGACAAGAAACACAAAAGGATGAGATGTTACAGCTTCATGCTCCAGTAAAAGTGACTGAAACTGCTAATGAACATCAAACAGGACTTGTATGTAAGCAGACTGACAACTATCAGAATGACATTGTAAACATAATGCAGAGACAAAATGAAATTACTTCTCTGCTGGTCCAGCAAAATCTGAGTTCTATTCTCCCATCAAGAAACATCCCGGTATTTGATGGAGACCCTCTTCAATACAAGTCTTTCATAAGAGCTTTTGAGAATGGAGTGGAGGAGAAAACAGCCAACTGGAGCGACTGCTTGCATTTTCTCAAACAGTACACCAGGGGGAAACCAAGGGACTTGGTGCACAGCTGTCAACATCTGCCTTCAGAAATTGGATACCATAGAGCCAAAGGTCTTTTAGCAGAGCATTTTGGAAACAAATACAAAATTGCAGCTGCCTATATGGATAAGATTCACAACTGGCCACCTGTTAAAAGTGAGGATACTAAAGCACTACAATCATTCTCACTGTTTCTTCGAGGATGCTCAAATCTAACAGAGCAAATGATGCAATGAAGGAATTAGACTTACCTTCTAACATGAGGAGCATCATCTTAAAACTGCCTTACAAATTCAGGGAAAGATGGAGAAGTGTTGCATGTGATCTTCAAGAGCGTAGTGGTCGCAGAGCAATGTTCATTGATCTTGTTGGCTTCATTGAAAAGCAAGTTAGAGTTGCATCAGACCCACTTTTTGGCAACATTCAGGACTCACAACCCACCAACTCCAAGGTCTCCAACGCTAAATATTCACAGCAAAGAAAAAGGGAAAG